ACTCATGGTCGAAGAATGACCAGGCACACCAAAGTGAGGCTAGCATGAGGTGAAGTTTATTGAGGAGAGAAAGATAGGATTATAAAGCAAGAGCGAGATATGGGTTTACAGAGCGTGATATGTACGCCACAGATGACGACCGGACCCATTGTTGCAGCAAAGGGAGAGCAAAAGGAAGAGGCCAAAAGGGACTGGTTATGGTCTGCATCCTGTATTATAGTGATGGATTGAACCTCCCTCATGGTTCAGAGGTCACCGTGGAACTACTTTGATTGGACAGTTGGGAGTTGCATGACCTGAGTCTTACTATGTATGTGGGGTGTTCTAGGTCACTTTCTGGACTATATGGTACCTATGCTGCTTCGCCCATGGATTAGAGAGTCCTCTGCATTCTTTCGCAGCTGGCATGCTAAGTTATGATTGGCAGATTCGTAGGGTGTTCCCTCCTCCCCCAGGTATGGCACCAAGGCGGTTGCACCCACTTTCGTCCCTAGGAGACCCGGAATCCCTTGCTGTCTACCTAATAGTTGTCCTCTCACCCCTCAGTTTCTCAGTTTGAGATCTTGAATGTTTGCATCAATCTAGGGCTTGGGACTTGTATAGGGAAAATCAGAGAATTATTTGCTTCTCAATTCCACAGACTCCTTTCAGCTCTTAAATTCGGTTGTTGAATCCATATTTGGAACCACCCTGACCTTTTACCCGTTGTCTGGGGTAAAAGAGACCTCAGTTGAACAATGATTTGGAGCTTAGATAAACTTACAGATGCTGCTCTGAATAGAAATGGACTCTCCAGGGATGATTTGTGCTATTCTATGCTGGCATTCCTTTGCTGTAACAGAAAAAGGACTAGACTTTAAAGATGGATGGTAGAGATTTTATCAGACAATGTGTACTTAGCTTTGGAGTAAATGAGTTGGATCATGGGAAACATAAGAATGAAGAAATTGTTAGAAGAAGATAAAGAATTTATGTGTGTGTATTGTTTAAGATTTGTAGGAATATGAAGGTAATTCGTTCTCTTGCATTATTAGTACCAGCTTATCTTTGTGATTTTAATTATGTTTATATGTCATATATTGGTGTAGTAAAACTATTTGTCTTTGTTACTTGATAGTTAATATTTTATCTAATTTTTCATCACTGTTCTGCAGAATCATAGACCAATCCAGCAGTGTGGAGATAGCATCTTTTCCAATCTATAAGGTGTTATTCTGTGCACGTGGACATGATGGGACAACAGAGAGCAATTGCTTTGCGTTTACAGAGAGTTCCCATGGTTCAGAAGAATTTCAGATACATGTTTTCTCCTGTGAAATTAAAGAAGCAGTAAGTATGATATAGTGTAGTGATTTGCTATAGAGATGAATTAGGGTAATATTTTTGAGCTCTAATCTCAATGTCATTTAAATACATTACATAAATTTGGAGTATATTTCTCAAGACAAAGGTAATATATTTTTCATGACATAGAACTGAAATATGTGTGTGCGCTAAAATGATATTGTGGGTATCTTAGCAAGTGTCATAGAAAAATACCACTGCATGAGATGTTCTCTCACCCTACCATGGTAGTAAATTGCTTATGTTCAGAAAGGAGGAATATTTTTCATTGCTATTATTATTTTGCCCCAGTAGATTGGTCCATGTGATTTGAGAAGGGGACTGTAACAATACCTCCTTCTCTGATGGGCTTGACACTTGCATATTGCTTTCATGTAGATATTGCACTAGGTTGTTTCATAGATCTCTGTGATTTTCACTGGTGACTACTATATGCATTCACTCAGAGGCTAGATT